TGATGTTAAAAATAGAAGACATTTTTATGTGGTTTTCAGGATACTACGAAAGAACTTGTTAAAGCTATAATGTAAAAGTGCTCTTTTTGAACGTTGCGCCTTAGACCTGCCCCAATCTTCGGTTCAACTTGCCGAAATCTCCCTAATAAAAATTGAGCTCTCAAATTTTCTGCTTCAGAATACGTGCTTAATTATGCTATCACACTTTTACCTAAAAGAAGGGACAGCTTAAGCAGTGCGCAGTCCTTTTATATGTTTTCTACGCCGCTATGACTTCAAATATTTTATGGAAAACCTAAGTAGACATATTATTATTCAATACTCTTTGTTACTCATGAACGTCTTTCTCAAATGTTTTAGACAAGTTAATATTTAAAATTAGTTTTAACTATTTATTATTTGACGGAGGGACAACTTCCATTGAAATTGCATCGAATCGTTTCGTTTATTAATGAATCACATTAGTATGTGCTATAGTCCACATTCACTTAAATATCATACGATATCATACAAACCATACCATGATGTCTTCCAAATCACGCACTGCAATCTATAACATTGATTCCGCAGAGGGCACTTGGCCTGTAGACAGAAACCGATAGACGCAAATGCAATTCCAAATCACGCTCAATATTTTAATTTAATTGGGAACTGTTATAGGCCCGAAACGTTCCCTTACTTTTAGGCAGTGTTTTAAAGAAACGCGGTTTCCTATCAACGCGTGCAATAAATAGTACTTCTGCATATTTTTTTTAATAGAAAACAAATTATTTTTTGTAAGGGCATGCATAACTGATAGAAAAAAACACACTTATTAAATAGTCATTTTCGAGTGACAATCTTTCAGGTGACCACAACGCCGTTGGCACAACTGTTAACATTGTGATGTTTTTAAAGTATTTTACATGATTTTTTGAGAAAAAAAATGCTACAATACGTCAGCTAAAATACACTCTTTGATGAGCATTGCACAGGATCTTTCAATGATTATGATTTATCAAATTAAAAATCATCAGAAGTTTATAAATAGCATAGTATACCCCAAAATCGCGCAACTTTCATGATGAAAATTGACTTGGTTTTTTAGCATATATTTGGTCATGCTATTTCGTGCACTGAGTAGATTTAATCCTAGAAAGGCCTTCGGTTAGGATAGTTGCCCTTTTAGTTAAGTTTATTCAGGTAATGTGCATTCATTTTGGCAAAATTGGGAGTCGTCTCATACCAAAGGAATTTCCTACGCTGTTATGTATGATAGAACCAAACATTTGATGAATTTATATTTTGCTATAGAAGAACGCCAAAAAAGTGAAAAATGTAAAACCTCTCCCTTCTAGAACTCGAATATTTTGTCCGCAATTCGTCAGATGCAACTAAGGCCAAGTTAAAGGAGTCGGATTTATTTGTAAAAACAAGGAACGATTTGTGTTTTAAAAATGATGTTTAGCAAACCTATACAGTTTAGTGCACAAAATGCAGTAATACAAATGGCTTGATCGCATTTTTTTTCCGCATCGCCTACATGGCGGATAAGTAAAATGTCCATATATTTTACCGTAAATGTAGTGCAAAACAGGACTTATCAAATGTAATATATGTTGAGTTAATCATACTTATTGCTTATGCGTTAGTTGGAAACGGAACAGGCAGAAGAATAATAATTTCAAACATGGCCCTATATATGACCACTGGTCTTGGCATTTGCAAATTTATATCAGTTTCTAGAACTTTAATATTATAGCGGAAAATAATAATATTATTAATAAAAGAGCAAGTTCTTCATTTTCCAGTCAAACTGCATCGTTCTTTTTCAGGTAAATTGAAAAAATTGTCAAAATTCTCCAATTTCTTTTTGACACTCACTTGGAAAACGGTATTATACACGGTCAGCTTCCCGGTGAAAATCAAGCTAAAACTCTTTTTAAATAGGCAAACTTTTATGGAATCTTTTGCCATTTATCTCAGAAATAAATGTGTTAGAATACTGTTCCGAACGTTATTTTTTCTCGACACTGTGGATTTCTCTTTTGGGGAATTTCTAAATATGATATAAATGACCATCTCCCTAAGAACTGTAAATGAAAAACTCATTTTTCCGGTAAATGTTCTTTCTGTATATCTTATTTTAAAGGTTTTGACGTAAACTTCTAACAGAATTTTAATTGACTGATGAATAACTGAGGACACTGAAAACGCTAAAAATTATGTCAAAATTTAAAGGACGATAATTAATAAATAAGTATCCTTTAATGGTAATAAGCATGCAACTGTTGACTAAAGTAAAGGTCACTTTATTTAAAAAAGTGCCTACATAAGGTTTTCCACGTAATAAAAAAAATTAAATTTATTGTTTATATTTATACCTATTTCTTAACGTCTGAAGAACTTGAGGATTATCGCGAAAGTGTTATTTAACTTAATAAAAATGTAGTACCTTTTATACTTCTTTCAAGTTTTAAATTTGGTTAATGATGTTCGTTATTATTTCTAAGTTTTTTGTGCATGCATGCACGCAGTTATGCGAGTTATGATCAAACTTTTACGAAGTTCTGCATGTTGCACGGCTTGGGGGCCATATTGTTTACTTCCGTTGAACACTGGCCTACACTGGATGTAACTTTGCGAAAGAAGCATATGTTGTTGTTTATGCATGCGTTGCTGTTTAATTCTCAGAAAATATGGAATCCGCAAAATGTTTGCAATTTGATCTTTGACGGCTAGTTAGGCCACAATCCTATATGCATAATGTTTAGCCACCTTCCAATCGAAGGTGTAAATTAATAGACGGTGTCCACTGGCGTTACTTAAAAAAGTTTTTTTATTGTCTCAGCGCAAAACATATTTCAAAATGACCGCAGTTGGTCTAGAGACAAGTGCAAGTATTTAAATACTTATACTTTTACCATTTAGACAAGCATACGGTACTTTTTTGGCAGTATAAGATGTTCAAAGCCGCAAATTATGATTGCATTCCATCGTTGTTGATCGATTTGATAAATCCATATCTATGGTCTTGTCTGCTATTTCTAGTATTATATTAAATCCCCTTAGGCAATCTTATGGTGCTTTTTGCCTTCGGACTGAACTCTTTTGTCCATAATATTTCGTTTTGAAAGATATCTATACGAAACCAAAAAATTGCGCC